TTTCAAAAAAAATCCCACGCACACGCAGGATCATGGTGATGCATAGCAACGAGAGGGGGGAGTGTCGTCCACATACCCTCATAGACCGTAAAGCGGAATCGTTATGACAACCCAGTTGATGTAGTCGTACATCTTCACGATAGACCGATCTTCAGTACCGAACGTACAACACCTCCGCGTTCAGCACACGTTCAACTCGGTGACGTCCCGCAAACTCACGATCCAGTAGAGCTCAGGGAAGAGTTTCGTCAGCACAACGGCGCGGTGACGATGTTGATGAAGCTACCGTGACAGGGCTTCGCCTAAGCACCGCTACAGTATGACCGAGGTGGGTTATGGTGGAAGGGGGGCACCGCACACGGCTGGGAGAGATCTTCGTGATCAACTTGTGTGTCTAGAGGTGCCCCCTATCCCTGCATATAAAGGATCAGGGGGGAGGCCAGCCGACCCTTGTTGGTGCGCCAGGAGGAGGAATCCTCCTCCTAGTAGGAGTAGGATTCCCCTCTTTCCTACTCCTACTAGGAGAGGAAAAGGCAGGGAGAGAAAGAGAAGGAAAGGGGGGCGCCTCCCCCCTCTCCTAGTCCAATTCGGACCAGAGGGAGGGGGCGCGCTGCCAGCCCTTGGCCGGCCCCTCTCTCTTTCCCTTATGGCCCCACAAGGCCCAATAGCCCCCAGGGGGTTCCGGTAACCCCTCCGGTACTGCGGTAAAATCCCGATTTTACCCGGAACACTTCTGATGTCCAAATGTAGGCTTCCAATATATCAATCCTCATGTCTCAACCATTTCGAGACTCCTCGTCATGTCCGTGATCATATCCGGGACTCCAAACTCCTTCGGTACATCAAAACATATAAACTCATAAAACTGATCGTCACAGAACTTTAAGCATGCGGACCCTACGGGTTCGAGAACTATGTAGACATGACCGAGACATGTCTCCGGTCAATAACCAATAGCGGAACCTGGATGCTCATATTGGTTCCTACATATTCTACGAAGATCTTTATCGGTCAAACCGCATAACACTATACGTTGTTCTCTTTGTCATCGGTATGTTACTTGCCCGAGATTCGATCGTCGGTGTCTCAATACCTAGTTCAATCTCGTTACCGGCAAGTCTCTTTACTCGTTCTGTAATGCACTATCCCGCAACTAACTCATTAGTTGCATTGCTTGCAAGGCTTATAGTGATTTGCTTTACCGAGAGGGCCCAGAGATACCTCTTCGACAATCGGAGTGACAAATCCTAATCTTGATCTACAACTCAACAAGTACCATTGGAGACACCTGTATAGCACCTTTATAATCACCCAGTTACGTTGTGACGTTTGGTAACACACAAAGTGTTCCTCTAGTATTCGGGAGTTGCATAATCTCATAGTCATAAGAACATTATAAGTCATGAAGAAAGCAATAACAGTAAACAAACGATCAAGTGCTAAGCTAACGGAATGGGTCAAGTCAATCACATCATTCTCCTAATGATGTGATCCCATTGATCAAATAACAACTCATGTCTATGGTTAGGAAACTTAACCATCTTTGATCAATGAGCTAGTCAAGTAGAGGCATACTAGTGACACTATGTTTGTCTATGTATTCACACATGTATTATGTTTCCGGTTAATATAATTCTAGCATGAATAATAAACATTTATCATGAAATAAGGAAATAAATAATAACTTTATTATTGCCTCTAGGGCATATTTCCTTCATATGGCCGGGTTGGTGCTCTTACACCACACTTGGTGGATGGTGGTGTGTCCATATTGCAGTATGTAGATGACAACGTTATTTTCATGGAAGGTGACATGGAGAAGGGAATTAATACGAAGTTAATCATATGCATGTTTGAACAACTTTCTGGCATTAAGGTCAACTTTTATGAGAGTGAGATATTCTGCTTTGATATAAGAGCAAAGAAGATGAGATATGATACAAGCAACTGGTTGGTTGTGAGGCTAGCTCACCCCGGTTTCAGTATATTTAAACTATATTGGTCGCCACAAGCTTCTGAATAAGGAGTGGATGGTCCGTTTTGAGAGAAAAAAATTAGAAGTTGGAAAGACAAGTTATCGTGTTATGGGTTTATCTTATTATTATCCATGTTATTTTCACTGGTCTATCGATATTTATCTTATCCTTCTTTCAAATACTCAAGTGGGCGAGGAAAAGATTGGATTATTGCAAATCAAGATTTTTTTTCCACAATGTGATGGACATAAAATAAAATATCAACTAATTAAGTGTGATATAATTAGTAATGAAGAGATCAAGGGGGGGGGGGGTAGGGTTGAGTATCAAAAATAAAGAAAAAATTTATACCAAATAAATGGTTCTTCAAGTTACTAAGTAAAGAAAATATTTAGTAAGAATTTTTTATGCAACAAATACCTCCACTGTAAGACCCTATCACGGCAGCAAAGCATTCTTTTTTTGCGGGATAAATGAGAGTTTCTATTACTCCATCATCAAGGTCTTGCCTACACAGGGTCGACACATCGCCTGGTCTGTCCCTAAGCCACAAAACAGTGCGTTCCTGAACTCTACCGAAAGTAACAAGAAAATTACTAACTCTATTTTGCTCACACCTAGCAAAGGCAAACTCAATAACTCTGCCATCGTTTGCATGCCTTTTAATCTCCTGAACAGCAAAGCATTCAGATCCATCGTTCTAAAAAGGGCATGATTATAGATAAGAAAGAGTTTTTTTAGCATAAGTTATTTCTTGGTGGGCAACTACCAACACGAGATTTTGGGATGGCGCCTGATTAGAGGGTGCACCCCTAAGTCTCCAATACTTGAACCTATACAACATCATCTAGCGAGAAGACGTTTTCATCAAATCAATTATAGGTGAGATCCCACTTAATACTGAGCCCCGGCGGGCTCTTATTGGGATAAATGGACAACATGGCTACATCTGTCAATATGTGATGGAGATAGACTTATCTCATGATAGAGATGTTTTCTATTGGAAGTTAATAATTCACATGTCCTCTTCATCTAATCTATGTACACGGACCTCATTAATGAAGGTCATGTTTTGTGTAGAAAATACATCCCCAAACTCAAAGTCCCTTTAAAAATAAAAAATATTTATGTGGAACTCAGACAGATGAGTGGTCTAAACCAAAAACAACTTGGCGAAATGTTAATTGTATGCATGTAAAAGTGTTATTTTTGTGATGACCATGAAACAATTCATAACTTACTCTATCTTTCCGTTTGCCACATTCCGTCGGGCGCACGGTTCATGTGACTAACAATTTGCCCCCACATGCGAATATAAGGAAGATGTTTGAAAACTGGTTGGAGAGGATTCACCTAGGCTAAAGGCACAAATAAGTGTGGGTGTATGTTTCATTGTTTGGGCGTGAAATTGTTGAAATGATTGTGCTTCAACATGAAGGGAGTTTCCAAAAGAATTGCAGTTTACGAAGGAGGCACATGAGTCCACAACTATGGGTGCAGTCAATAAGACACGACAACAAAATATATGTTTAACCGATTTGGATGTGGGCCCAATAATAATATTAGTAAAGCTGGATTTACTCCTTGGCACGCGCATGTTGTATTGCCATTTGGTTGTGCTAGCCTTGAGAATTCTTTCTACAACATAGCTGTTGTATTACCATGTAGATAAACAATACCAAACCAGTATCAATATATTCATCATTAGATATATTTTTATAATGTATTTATTTAATGCAAAGTTGGCAGAGCAATTTTTTTGAAACATAGAAGCTCGTAGAGGCAACGGCCGAAAAGTCATTGATGTAGATCAAGAGACATCGATAACCGCAGTCTGCGAAGCAAATCGCCTTACCAGAGGAAAAAACCCGCTGATAAGGACCTGTAGGAACCCCAAAGACCATAAAAGCAGGCCGAATCTAGACGAATCCACCGAAAACCGAAAATGATTGGATACCGAAAGGCCTCCGAAGACACAGCTCCTCGCGCCTCTCTGTCGGTGAAAAACAAATCAATGGAATGGGGATATAGAGGGAAGAACATTATCCCTACCTTAAGACAGTGCCACCTTAAACCAAACATAAAGACTCTTTAAGAAAACTTGAAAGGAAAAAACACCCATGCCACTGTACGACTGGCCCGGTTTTGAGAACCGTGCAGTACCCACCCCTTAAGGGCATATTTTTGTACACATTTAGTCAAACTTGGAAAGTCATGTGAATTTACACGCCTATGCAATGGCCAAGGTTTTTTTAGTTAGTTTTTTTAGCATCAGTACAGACGCAAGCGCTCATATGCATACGCATACACTCACCCCTATGAACGCACACACGCATACCCTACCCCTATGAGCACCTCCGAGAGACTAAGCCGACATATTATCTTGAGATTTACAAAGTCACCGTAGGCGCCTCGTCGTCGACGGGAACGTCTCCTCCCACTGAAAGCGCATCGCCGAAAATCCTGAAATAAATCCAGGAATAATGCGACCACCAGAATTTGAACCCTGGTGGATTGGGGATATCACTGTCCACCTAACCAACTCAACCATAGGTTGATTCGCTATTACCCCATTTTTTTAGTTAGTTGCAAAACTACTACTACTGGCCTAGGTGAAACGGTAAATAAGCAAGGGCAGGCGCAGGCTAGAACCACAATGCAACAACCATCCATGGACTGTACTGGGACAAGAGGAAGGAGCTCCGGCGCGGGACGGCCATCTCGCTCTGGCGGAGTGCGGGCTCCACGGTCTCCTCTGCTCCTGGCATGCTCCCCGCTATATAAACCACAACACACGCTGCCTGCACCCGTGTACCCACCTCCTTCGTCCCCGTCCTCTCTCTCCCTCTCTGCACCTAATCCAGCGCCAAGAGGTATCACCAACATTCTTGGTTGAATTTTCAACATTCTGAGTTGAATTTTCCACTGCATTTTATGTCGTATTTTCTTAATTTGTGACATTCCGATCTGTTTGTTCCCAGAGAATACTTTGTTTGCGGAGGTAATCATCTGCCAGCCATAGCCATGCAGGAAGCGCTCATCTCTCCGGCCAACGCCGACCGCCTCCGCTCGGCCTTCGAGCTCAAGCCGTACGGATTCGGGGACCAGCGCCTCTCCTCCTCGCCGCGCTACCTCCCGGGCGGCGACGACGGCCTCTACCGCTGCTCCTCCCCCTTCAGCCCCAGCCTGGGCTTCTCCTCGCCGTCGCCGCTCGCCACGTCCGTCTCGCTCTCGCCGTCCTCGTCCGCCTCCCTCGTCGACGACGGGGACTACGACGGCGCGGCCGCCGCCGACGCCACCGGCCACAGGCTCCAGCTCGCGCGGCTCGCGCTGCAGTACCAGGAGGTGGCCGATCGCTACGAGCTCTGCCTCTCCCACCTCGCCGAGGCCGTCGACGAGGCGGCGATCCTCCGCCGCGAGAACGCCGAGCTCCGCGTGGCCAACAGCGACCTCGCGCGCCGCGTCGCGCTGCTCGGTGGCAAGGAGACCGCCGCCGTCGTCATCGCTGACGAGATACGCCGGTTCCGCCTCGGCGAGCACAAGGGTGCTTCCAAGCAGCGCGCGCCCGAGAAGCTCGCCGTGCTGCCGAAGAGCATCTCCGTCCGTTCGAATGACTACCTCAAGATGAACCAGGCCGCCCCGGCAGCCGCCACGCCGGCGGCGTACAACCGCAAGCCGAGCTCGGTGAGTCCCTGCTCCCGTCTCGCCAATTCCGCGTACTCTCTTCCTCTCGAACTGGCATTTGACATTGTGGATCGGCAGCAGCGCGCGTACTCCGGACTGGGAGCGGACGGCGGCAAGAAAGGCGAGGAGCAGAAGAGCAAGCAGGACGCGGCGGGGGAGCTGGACGTGTACAACCAGGGCATGTTCAAGACGGAGCTGTGCAACAAGTGGGAGGAGACGGGGGCGTGCCCCTACGGCGACCAGTGCCAGTTCGCGCACGGCGTCTCCGAGCTGCGCCCCGTCATCCGCCACCCGCGGTACAAGACCGAGGTCTGCCGCATGGTGCTCAACGGCGAGGTCTGCCCCTACGGCCACCGCTGCCACTTCCGCCACTCGCTCACCGCCGCCGAGCGCCTCCTCCGCAGCCGTTGAGGCAGTGCGCGTCTCTTCCGCCACAGTCTGAACCCCTTTTTACCGTCTCAAATCAAGCCTACGCATACCTCAACAGCCCAGGGGAAAATGTACAAAAATTACCAACGGCGTAAATAAGATATATGTATTATAAGTGCTGTATAATATAAGAAAGTAAATGAAACCGAACGGTAGAGTTAGTGCCCGGCAGCCCAGGCAATGTGAATATCTGCGTATGCAGGAGTAGCCGTCTCTCAGGGACTTGTTCATACTGCTATCTATTATGTATGTCGTCCGTCTTGGTTTTAGGTGGCAGTTTGTCTCCAAATGTGTTTTTTGAGGGAGATCGACATGATACAATAATGTCAGTGAGTGTGTACTCTGTAGATTGGCGAACTGGGAAGTGCTGCGAAGTTGAGGTGACATGGATGTCTTCTTGTTTGTATTCTATATGACGAGGAGCAGTAGATCTTGTATAGCAGCTCTATTGCTTTCTTCAGATTACCTTGTTGTTCTTGCATTTTTTCTTCGTAATGTCAGTGATTTTTGCAGTATAATTAAGTTGGCTGTCTGTAAAGAATGGCTCCTGATTTGTCCCCCAAACCTCTGTTGTCTGTAAATCTTAATTGAGGATGAATGGACAACTGTTTACTCCGCTGTGTCTGACTGTCCCTATGTATGACTTTTCGGATGTACTCTTGTGATTCAGAAAGCTGCTACGTTTCGGTATTCGGTAAAGAACCTCAACCTGCCTAACTTGTGCATGATAGGTATTGCCGACTGTGGTTTTGCAGCTTGAAGTGTAAGCTACTTAACTCGCTTGTAAAAGGCTAAAAATGTACTCCCTTCGTCCCAAATTAAGTGACTCAATTTTATATTAATTTTAGTACAAATTTATACAAAATCGAGTCATTTATTTTGGAGTTAAATGCACTGGAGGTACTAAAAGTTTGGTTGGGATATCACTTTAGTCCTAATTCTTTTAAAATGAACCTTTAGGTCCTAATTCTTTAGTAAGTGGTTCATGCGAGGTCCTTTTTCCATGAGCGCTCATTGACATGCACGTGTGGCGCGTTGACCCACGCCACGTCGACAGAGGGGCCAACCGTCAGGCGAGAAAAATACACTGGAGCTCCTAAAAGTTTCTGGGCATTGTCACTTTTGTCCTACTTTCAAAATACACGTGTAGATCCTAATACTATAGTAAGTGCTTCACGCGAGGTCCTTTTTTGCATGATCTTTCGCTGACGTGCTTGCGTGACACATTGACCCATGCCATGTCAACTTAGAGGCCGTTGTGGTTGCTCTTTTTTTTACAGAAATCCCTTTGTAACCCCCCCTCTTGACATTTCCCAACCCCTACCGAATCTCTCTCTCTCTCTCTCTCTCTCTCTCTCTCTCTCTCTCTCTTGCCCACACCGTCACCATGGCTGGGGCAGCAAGCTCCTCGGCAGGGAAGCGAGTGACGAAGAGAAGCGTTGCAGCAGCGTCGGCAGCGTTGCCTCCTCCACAAGCTATAGAATGATCGTGTGAAAAAGGACCTAGATGAACTACTTACTATAGAATTAGGACGTAAACGTGTGTTTTGAAAAAAGTAGGACTAAAATGACACTGCTCAGAAACTTTTAGGATCACCAATGTATTTTTCTCGCCAGCCAGTTGGGCCCTCTGTCGACGTGGCATGGGTCAACATGCCACGCGGGCAGGTCAACGAGCACTCGTGAAAAAAAGACCTCAGGTGAACCACTTACTAAAGAATTATGACCTAAAGGTGCCTTTTGAAAGAATTAGGACTAAAGTGACACCTCGATGAAACTTTTAGAACCTCCAATGCATTTAACTCCTTATTTAGAGACGGAGGGAGTAAAATGCACGCCCTGACCTGCAAGGCAACAACAAAGCCATAATATTATATCAGCGTACCCAGAACTAATGTATTCCGTTTAAACATCGGCAATCTTATCTGACTGACGTTTACTGGAAGAGCAGGGCATTTCTAATGTTTTTTCTGTCAGTGTTAGTTGTATCGGGGGTGATAGTTTCTTCAGAATAACATGGCATTTTCTGAGAGGATGATAATTTTGAGCTTTCTTTTTCAGAAAATGGCATGTTGTTCTAAATAAACTGCCACCACATGACCAATTAAAACTGTCATCGAAATGTTCTCAAATATCACCCCCTCCCAGCGAACGGTCAACCATATAAGAGGTCCTTATATTTTTTTTATAAAGGACGCTTTATTACTTAAAAGGTTAAAGGTCCTTAAACATTTGATTGCTTAATTCTGAAGTCTTTCTTTCAAAGATTAACCAAAACTCGTTGATCCTAGTCCGCGCCTACCGCTGCAGTTAACAAATAAAATGAATACCCTCCCCCCCTCCCCCCTCCACCTACCGCAAAGCTTTTGGCCCTCCTTTATTCTGAAGCCTTGCTTAATTCTGAAGCCTTTCTAATGTTTTTTCCGTGATTTTGTTGTCGGTTTTACTGGTTTTCTATTTTCCCTGCTTGTTTTTTCCACTTTTCATTTTTGCGTTTTTTTCAAAAATACAGAATATTTATAAAATTCATAAACACATTTAAAATTCGCTAATAATTTTAAATTTATTTAAAAAATAACTCTCAATTATTTTTGAAATGCAAACACATTTTTATTTCTGAACGTTCTTAATTTAGTTTCAAATCTCAACATTTTTTATTCGTGAAATAAAGTTTAAAACTCATGCAAATTTTGAATTTTTTTTAAACACTTTTCCTAATACATGAACATTTTTCAAATTATTAATCCTTTTTTAAATTCACGAACATTTTTAGAGGGAAAAAGGGGGCAGGCCCTCCCCAGGTGTATCCTGCAGACGGTTTGGCACACTACTATTACCTCCGTCCTGATTTATTTATCCCTTTGCAATTTGTGTCAAATTTTGAATTAATATTTAACTAACAAAATGTTAATGCACGTTAAGAAAAATTATATCGTTGGATTCGTATTTAAACATAGTTTCCAATGATATAATTTTTTGTGACATGTATGAACATTTTGTTAGTTAAATTTATAGCCAAAATTTGGCATAGAATACAATGAGGACTAATTAACCAGGACGGATGTAGTAAGTCGCTAAGAAAACAATAACAACTAACACAAGAACCAGGAAACCCACGGAGATGGTGAGCTCGTCGCAGCAGCAGAGACTGGTAGAGTCCAACCGTCCGTGGGAGCAAAGCAAGTCAGCGAAGATCAACTTCAAAAAACCATAGATGAACTCTGCAAATATCATAGCAGACCAAAGGCCCGGCAAAACACACTAACAAAGAGTGTTGCTTCTTCGCTCGGGATGAGGAGTACAAGGCTCAGTTCAAGCGCCCCGACGAGGGCAAGGGAACTTGTTTTTATTTTCTATTTTTCCCTATTTCTTTTTTTCTTTTCTTTCTTCACTTTTCAATTTTTGTGTATTTTTTTAGAAATCCAGAATATTTATACAATTCACAACACTTTTTAAGTTTCGGTAATAATTTTAAATTCATTAAAAAATTAACTCTCACTTATTTTCAAATACAGACTCATTTTTGTTGGTAACATTTTTATTTTCTTTAATTTGTCAAAAAATTAATCCATGAAACAACTTTAAAATTTATGCAAATTAAAAAAATGTTTAACATTTTCCCTAATCCATGAACAAATTTCAAATTATCTACCCTTTTAAAAAATTCATGTAAAAATTTAGAGGGAAAAAGGAATTGATAGGCAGTTTTCGGTAAGGATTTCACTGCAAGTCCGGTTAGATAGTTTAGATAGATAGTTTGTTAGCAAGATAATTGGTAATAAGTAACAAAAGTAGTAAGGTGCAGCAAGTGGCCCAACCCTTAACTTGCTAAGGATTAGGCGATGATAACTCTTATAGTGATTAAAACACTCTTGAGGACACTCGAATATCGTCATGTTTTTTTTTTAATATTGCCAAGTTACTTTCACCACGATTCATCGACTCAGGTTCATTGTCTTGATAAGTGTTATGTGGGTGGACCCGAGCTAAGGTATTGTTCTTACTTGAACAAACACACACTTATAATTATACCCTCCATACAAGTATTCACAAATACAAAAGAAGTAATTACGATAAATCTAACCATGACATTAAACAAGTGGATCTAAAACAGACGCTCACAGCACAATTTGTAATTGGGGTTTATGTTTCTATCACTCCCGCAACCCATCATCTACAAACTAATATCGTGAGCCCTTCCCTTAGGCCAAAAAATGGTAAATTTCCATGTAGTTGACGTTCACATAACACCACTAGAGAAAGAACAACACAACATATTCTCAAAACATTGAACAACGATTAACTTTACATGAGTACTAATAACAAGACTTTTCTCATGTCCTCAAGAACAAATAGAACTACTCACAACTCATCATATTCAACATGTTCAGTAGATACAAATATGTGATTAACAATCTGAACATAATAATCTTTCACCAAATAAACTAATTAGCATCAAATAAATTATGTAATCAACACTACTAGCACCCCTAGGTATCAATCTGAGGTTTGATACAAAGATTGAACACAAGAGAGAAATGAGGGTTTATCGATGAGATGGTGTTGGTGAAGATGTTGATGAAGATGATAATGAGAGGAGCGTTGGTGATGGCGAAGGGTTGGATCTCTCCCTTTCGGGGGAAAGTTTCATCGACAGAATCGCTCCACCGGAGAGCAAAAGCTATCCTCCTTTGTTTCTGCCTCGAGACAGCAGCAGCAGGTCCTGAAAGTATTTTCCTTATTTTTTTCTAGGGTAAATAGGGTTTGATAGCCAAAGGACGTCGGGAGGGGAGCCACCAGGGCCCCACATGGACAAGTGGCATGGCCAAGGGGTGGCCGCGCCACCTGCCCGTGTCACTAGCTGGTGGGCCCCCTATGGCATATTTTTGCTTTTATATATTCTAAAATAATTCTTCAAAAAATCTTGCTTCATTTTGAGCTTCGAAGAATTGCTATCTCTGTTGTAGCTTTTCAGGTCAGAAT